AGCATTATTTTTATCAATGTTATCTTTACGATCGATAACAAGAACACCTGCAACCTGTCAAGGTGTGTTAATAGTATATATGCATCGGTGGCACAGCGATTAGCACTCTTGCCGATCACGCATATGGTTCGAGGTTCCAGTCCCCGCTGACACACACCTGATGTCAGTCACGTCTCGTAAACCGTCAATGCCCAGCTCTTCCTACGCTCGGGCTCACGCTGTCGCTTGAAGTTTCTCAGAAACGCTTAGTAATAACGGACGAAAAAACCAAAACACCAATTGTTGACTCGAGGATTCTTTATTGTTACACCAACATATAAATGACGTATGACTAAGGTCTGTGAACAAATATTACAATAATAAATCACAATATTACTTCTGACGATGTTTCACTCTTCTTTCTGAACAGCGACCGATGAGACGATGACTGTCGTATTGATGCCTCCGCGAAAATTGGGGAAGTTGGTTTTGAGCAAACAACCATGAATTGATCGTTCAATCTTCAACTACATTGACACCTGATATCTATGGTTGGCCTGCAAAATATGGGCTACGATATCATATGTTGAAAATTCCATACCAAAATACGGCGTGGAATCAAGCTATAACTTTAAAAAATAGAAAAATTTGTTATGCGTCATGAGTTCAAGCTCTTCTTCGTGCTGTTTAGTCAGAAGACATTCCATTTTTGATTTAGCATTAATGTAATGATTGCATGAATCAGCGATGGTAGATTTGAAGCGCTGAAAATCCTGGTCAGACGATGGTATGAGATCATAATTTTGACTGGAGAGATTCTCAAACTGGACATATGTATGCAGCTTGTTGACACTGAGATCTACATCGCAAAACTTTGTACCCGTAGACAAGTCTTCCGTTTACAGTATCGATAGGGATACAGAGGTCTGATTCAACACGTATCTCTCAGAATTCTCAAGGAATTTCTGTAGACATTCGATAGATTTTGGGCTATTAGATAGCTTAGAATTAATAGACAGTGTGTGTTTGTTGGTAACTATGGGAACATATTCATTAAATATCTGACGTTCAATAGTCGATAAGTCACATAAAGCAGATCTTCGTTAAATATTCCTTCCTAACTCAGAGAAACGTGAATTAATAGAGTCGATGAGATTTCATGCGTGCCTCTTGAGAGATTCTGTGTCAGATTATATGTGATTGCCCCGGAGCGCTTTCAAATACTATTTCGGATACTCATGATTATTAGTGCATTCATTGAGGAAACAAATCCCCGCATTCACCACGGCAAGTTTGACAGAGTAAGGCAGAAACCCATTCAGTTCCCTTACTGTCTAGGTGTCTTTGTTATTTTTTAATTTATGGAAAATTGTTACTGTACCATACGAAGATCAAAACATGTGATAATGAATTCGTTGAAAACAGTATTTTCGCTAAACCACTTGTTTTGATTTTCTATAAGTTATTTATTAATACCATCGAATGTCCAGAGACGGTGCAAAACTTCCCAAGTTCTCTTGCATGAACCATAAATAGACAATCTACATAGATTTTTAAATTGATTATGAATATCGCCATATGAGTTCACCAGACAGAAATGTACAAAAAGCACAAACACGCATACATACAGACAATAAGGTTCCATTTGTGTACATACACTTCGTCTTTTTTATTCTGGTACTATGCTGCCCTTCTCGTCTCTTCTATTTTCCTTGTAGTGCAAGTCACAGATCTGCAGTGAAACTGAAGTTAAACACAACTTGAAGCCACTTACGCATGTATACCACATAACTCTTCAGACTATCGGCCTATAATTAGCCAGCATCATAAGAAGCTCCAACTTTGCCATCTGAAGTTAACAAATAATTCCCTAACGTGCAGTATACACAATCTAATATAGAGATATGACTGATTTCCAAACAGTTTGGGTAGGGATAAACGCTATCGCGTTTTAAATTTACCTCGCTTCAGGTTTTCTCGTCTTTCATTGGCTAAAACAGAAAGCTGACACTAATTTTAGGCAGTCTGACATTTTAGAAGGACCATCTATACTATACTTCTTACCCCAATGCACACCGATATCAACATAATCTGATGCGTGTTGTACACTGATCAATTACGGTCTCCCGAAATTCTATGTGACAATGTAAATTGAACTGGTATCACATCTTCGCCTGAGCAATTTTACCTAGGAACATCATCGAAATGGATAAAATCATCATGAAATTCAGCAGCTTGTCTCATTCATCGCATGATATCTTCGATGTGATGTGCAACATTTCAGTCATCACGGATGACAATAAAAGCGTGCAACATCCTCAAAACGTACATATAACTTATGTCCGTGGGCTTTTCCTCTTTCGAATTCCCGATTCTCATAGAATAACTGTCATGACCACAACCATTGTCTTTAGTCAATTTACAACCTTAAGAACTAAAACAACTGGCAAATAAGACAGCTTTAAGGCTCTAAAACGTGAATAATAGTCTTTCTATGCGAAATTTCTTATGAAGAATGACTTTTTTAGCAATAGATTGTTCATGATATCAAGATAATTTTACGCATTTAAACGAACAATACATGAAAATATTGCTTTTTTCGGCTACAGAAGCCTAAAACTAGTCAAATATAATCTATTTTCACAAAACGCATCTATGGGCGTGAGCGCGATAACCCAAACGGTGCGCGAAAATATATCACGATAACACTTACCATAAACCAATAGTTTTCTCCGCATCTTAATCAAATTACGCGCACAGACTACCAGTCAGCTAGAAAATAGATATAGGCAGATTTTGATTGGCTGTTGATTAACTGGCTTCCTATTGGTCTAAAATATAAGTTAAAGCGGTAATCTTTTCATTTTGACACGGAAATTTACAGTCAGTATAATTTAGGGCTTACCTTACCATTATATAATGGCGTGTTAATTTTTTTGGTATGAGTGTAGTGTGATTGTCACACGCTATTTGGATGCATTGGTGGTGTTAAAAGTACATTAAGATGTATGAGAATGTCTAGTAACTGAATATAAATCAACAATAATTTCGATGCATTTATTTTAAGCCCAAAATAGGATGTATGCATTTTTGATTACTAGGCGAATAAAATTTAACTACAATTTCTAAAAATTTAATGTATCCTTAATTAGTTCATATAGATAAATGTATGTATCAACTAATCTACTTTTTTAAGTTGTCAATTCAATGACCTTTGGGATTTGTGCATATTAGGTCAGCATAAATCAAGTAAATTTCCCTTCAAACGGCTGAGAGTGACAGTTTAAAGCATACTTTGGTTGACGGTTTTGTGATGAGAGCGATTTGGAGTCCGTTATAAATTATACCGATCTGTGTCTTATTCATACGTTTTTCAGCTGAGGATTTCCGGTTCATAGCATATCCTGAATAACGGTGATTAATACGATTTATCACTTAGACCACAGCACCACCAAGCTTAAAACAATTCTAAATTTATTCTAACCTATTCCTCGATAATGCCTTTTTATGGTAACTGAAGATCATATTTACCCATTATGTTCTGAAATGACACAGGTCGTGCTTAAAAAGACAGCTGAGTGCTTAATCAAAACTTTCCACTCTGGAGTAACGCTAGTTCATCCTTAATATGTCCTGTGAGGGCTGGAACAATGTTGATAAGCAAACCCAGTAGGTTCGATTTAGTGCCACTCATGCTGAAAAATCAGCGCACAGGTTCACTGTCAAACAATGGCAAAACAGTAAGGGAGTCTACTGTTACTATTATTAGCATACTCTATGTTACTATATTAGCATAGTATACGTTAATTAGCTCAATGATTGCAGGTTTACAATAATCTTTGACTACCAACATAATAACTGTGAACTTCAGGCTAAAAATAAGCTAAATAGTAGCACCATGTGACGAAAACTGACCTACACACTGCAAAATGAGCAAAACATCCAGAAAAACCTTTAAAATTCAATGGAAAACAAATTCACGAAAACATATAAATAGCCGACGCAAGAACTCATCATGACCTAGAAACTGACTGTAGCCTCTTTCAGTCAGCTATGTATAAAGAGAATTATCATCCATTTGATGCGGCTAAACAAACCCATATGTCTATGTCCGATATTCATTTGCATGAACTACAATTCACTTCCAATTCTACTGTACAACGGCACTGCTAAGGGAGTGATACAAGTATACTACTCACTTTAAATTAATGCACCATTTCACTAAAAATCAAAATTAGATGTACAAAGCAAAGTTACATTGGAGAAAAATATTGAAGCCTTATTCTTCCCAGGTTCGAATCTAAGCGATTTCATACAGTAAATTTAACCCTGCCTGAGTATTAGTGACTGCATTTATGAAATGTGTGGTGGACCTTTTACTGTGTTAGCTTAGTTACCCAAATTCAAATAGAAAATAAATTACGAAATCAGTTTACTTACGGGAAGAATATATCAAAGTTTCGTTACTTCGGTTTACAAAGATCCAAAATCCACAAAAAACGTAATAGACTCCAGAGGCTGCTGCGGGAAGACTACTCCAGTACTAATTCTCCAATGTTGCCGGAGGTCGACCAAAGTACGTAGGAAGAAACTACGGTGCTCCTGCAAAAAATTGAGATAGAAAGCAGGTGGTTAGAATTGATCGACGGCAGTTGAGATGGTGGAGAAGACGGAGAGTCGAAGGCAGAAATATATATTTATTCAAAATCCGAGGTGAAGTTCGAAGTACAGAGTTTATGGTTAAAACAAAGTAGTGTACAATATGTTCATTTCTTACATAGTAGTAAAATTTGGATAAGTTTATTTTTGAGGACTCCACAAATGTTGCTCTGAACACTAACGTATAAGACTTTACAAAGGTTTCACCTACTGGCTTACTTCTCTACAATTGCCTACCTTGAATAAGTAGTGTAGCAAATAGTCTAGAGGAGACCGCAGTTTGCATTCCGGAATAGTTAGCATTGATAATTGGACGAGCGGTTCCAATGATAAGCGCCTACTCCGAAATGCTCGTGTGAGTGATGACTTCTCGTAAAAGATCTGCAAGCAAAAGGAAGGCATCTGCTTTGACTGGTCTTGAGGCACTCAATTCATTTAAGGTTCCGAAAAAACAAAGTAACTTATGTAAGTTAGAGTCCGTTCTCGAGTTCTCTATCACAAATTTATGTCAATATTATTTGCACCACATTTTCTTTAGTAGTAGTTGATATTTTGTAATACTTGTATAGTGGTAGAAATAGAAATAAGCCTTTGTTCACAAAAATGGGAGCAGGTTTGTGGGGTAGTTAAACTTTAGGCACCAGTTAGCACCAACGGACGAGTGACCTTGAACACACTAACCCTATCATTAAAGCAATTTTTTCTTATTAACCCGTAAAACTTATTAAATACATAAATTTATGAAAATAATAAATTAAAAAGAATAATCGTGTTACGCGGGACACCTTTGTATGAAGTTAGACAAAAATACCTCTCAGTTGTGGATTGGAGTACTAGCAGAGTAATTTAACCACAATCATAGCGTGTAATTATCTAGTCTTCTACCCCTCACAATAACCTTAACCTAACTCTAACGTGAAAATATCACTTGTCTTCATCAAACCAACCCTAATGTCTGCCTCATAAGGCTAAATTAACCTATCCTAAGCATAAACCTTGAAATAATCTTCCCCAGACCTAACCTGGAACACGTCAGGTATCCCATTTTGTAACATAACACTTCACTAGGCATATTTTATTCATGATTACAATTTTGTTTACCAGGTCTCACTAACGTATTCACTAAGCGTTCTAAGGCCTTTGGTGCGGTCACACTCCACTGCTGCCTAAAGTTCAAGATATTTCTATTGTTTTCCAGTCTTTTTGTATTTTCTACAGCTTGTGGGGCACCTGTATTACTGAATTCTGATTATCTCAAAGCAAAATCATATTTATTCTGCATAAGCCTCCCACCAACTCATAAATTAATGTGAGCCTCAACTGTCGTGTAACTTAGAGAGCTAGCCGAACGTGGTATTTTACTGTGATTGTACTAATGAGATGAGTATGAAACTATTTCATTAGCTTGTGCATAACCATGTAGTCAGCAAAGTGTATTTCGCGTTCAGTGAGATTTGTCCTGCCAGTATTTGTGATAACAGATATAATTTGAGGATAATTGGAATTTCATATTCTGAATGGTTATTACAGAATGTAGTCTATTTGTACGCTATGTTGAATGTGCTGCCTTACATCACTGAAAATTTAAACCCTAATCACTTTTTTAAGCACAAACGGGAACCACAGATTCACTCACTTGGGATGCCCAGGTGTGTGAAAACTTAAGATAAAACTGGCTTCAGTTTGTGTCCTATGAGAATTGCGTTTTTCTGACTTGAAATCCTATGTGACCCTCACAAAGTATACAGTTTATTTACAGATACAGGTCCTTGCTGGATTCTTGCCAGAATGTTTATGGTGACGCCCACTGCTGTTACGGTTTATTGCTTGGTAAGGTCAGACCATATTCGACACTGGTATTCGAGTCTGCTACACTTGTAATAGATGACTGTGCGGTATGAAGGATAACGTTTGATATGGTCGACCTTGTGTTGGATGATTAGCGTCATGCACTCTGACTAAAGCGACACATTTTTCGTGACCCTATCGCTTCACCTCCTGGGGAAAGTACGTTGCTACTTACTGGGCTTCTTTTTTCCATCTAATTTCAACAGTGGCTGCTCTTAGATCTTCCTAATTTTTATTAGTGTCTTTTTCTACAGCTGATTATTGTCATTCTAAGGACTCTAACCAGACAGCTTACGGCTGCACAAATGAACCCGATCATCTGTCAAAGACTTCAGACATTGGATACTACAGAGATCAATCGCAAGCTCGAATAGCTCAGTGGTTACGTCTCTGACTGCAGCACTGTGTGACGTGGGTCCGAATCTCAGAAGGGACGAGTTCCTTCAAGATTGCTGATTAATAAGTGTTAACAAGCATGAAACCTAGAACCCGGCAAGGCTTTGTCATTAAAAGTAACTATTGTGAATTAGACAGCACAGCTCACTCACCCGTAAATAGGTAGCAAGATATATTAACAGAGCGAGGGAGGATCCAAGCTGGCGAATGCTAGTACTTTGTCAACAGCCACCTCACCGAGATTAGTGTAACCTCCTTAATAAGTTGGGCTATATACTGATTTTTGGTGTTTAGTGGATACAATCAGTTTACGATCATCATACATGCTCTGGAGTCATAAATAGGGATTTCTTAATTCCACTCTAACCATTGATGTACATTGAGGATAAGTGTTGTTTTGAATTATCCTTCAAAATAATTGTCTATTTTTAAGAGACAAATATTCTCAGACAGTTTGTAATATTCCGTTACTATGCTTAGTTGAACTTATAATAGGCACATCCAGTGTAATTTTTGTTTGTAAGCCTCTTGTAATTCATATCAAATTGAAAATAATTATCATCTTTTATTCGCCTTTAAAATTATTTCTCCAGTTATCAAATATTAATTTTGTATACGTTGTAGCTGTTTTCTGATTCTATGAAATCTTGTCTCTAAGCCCCTTGTAATCAATATTCGTACCTTCAAACTTTCATATCAAGTTGAAAATCAGTGTCTCCTTCGTTACTTTGTGGAATTAGATGATTAATAATTGTATTCGTGTAAACTAATGTATATAAATGCGATTGTACAGCTGCTTTTGAGAATGAAATCGCCGAAAAGATCGCCATTTTTGCTGAGTTTCTTGTTCTTTTCCCCCTAACATTTCTATACATTAAATGCCGTCATAATTTTTTTCTGTCTTGTTAATCAGCCCTCCTTGAAGCTGTTGATTTAAAGTCAGTGGATTACTCTGAAGAAATATACCCTCAGATAAATCAAAGTTTCCGTTTCCCGCAACTTTCAGTTCATTTTGAAGTTGGTGAAGCATGGCTCATTCATAATAAAACACTTGAAGACTCATTTTCACAAGCGCGTAAACGACTTCAAAAGAATCCTATCAATAATACTATTACAGGCACAGAATTAAGTTTGTGCACTGGTTTTCTAGTCGTTAAAAGTTGGAAAGATGTAGAAAAGATTGCTGCTGATGGTCTTGATCCAGGAAATGATCTGGACACTTGGCTTGGTCAACCTAAATCAGGTGAGCATGTTCATTAAATAGTATATTTTCCTGTTTTGGGTTTTAATTTAATGTGATGTGAAATAGTTTGGATTCGTACAATAAAGTTATTGATTAGATGTAGGTTGAACTTTTTCACTTACCTAGACAGTATCCTTTCAACTCCAGACAGACGACGTGGATGAAGATGTTAAAGCTAGCGAGAACCGGAAAAACAAGACAATTTCATGAATCTGAGGTCACTGAGGAAATCTGACGCACTCAGTACAAGGAACAAGATCTGGATTTTCAACACTAATGTCAAGTCAGTCAGGGCTTCTATATGATTCGGAAACGTGCCGCGCGTGTCTGAAAGGCATTTCCAACAGGCCACTGCGGAAGCTGCCTTCGTCTCATGTCAAAGATCAGATGGTTAGTTGGAAAGGAACTCTGGCAGCTAACCAATCCAGAACCTATAACCCCACAAATATACAGAAGGAAATAAAGATAAATTGGACACACGTTAATGAGACTGTCGAATAACACCACACACTAGACACACCCTGGAGTGGAACTCGAATGGGAAATGTGGAGGAATTGAATGTCAGTCCGTGGATGATATGAAGGAGATTGTGTGAGGAGGAAATGAAAGCTTACCGTCAGTCATGGGGTCAGCTGAAAGAGGTTGAAAAAAAGAACAGAGTGAAATGGAGATGTGCTACCGAAGCCCTGTGTGGCACTCGAAATTCAAGAGAATAATAATATTGAGCTGTTTTGTTTTTCGCCGTTCACACTGCCTAAAATCTAACACGCCTTAAAGATGCTATTCATCTGAAACCTATACTTGGGATGGTGTTGGTATGAAGATATATGCCGAAAAACAGTCGAACTATACAATGCATAAGGAAGGTAGAAATTAAATGGTCGGAAAACAAAAGATTGAAACAAGTAAGTACACTTACCAAGCACACTCAGGTGGGGTTTTCACTAGTTAATTTATACTCTTGAAAGCATAATAAACAAAATGAAACTGCAGCATGTTCGCCACTGATAGCGATTTTCAACCTTAGCTTACAATGTCTTAAGCAATTAACTCTTGTAATTTTTCAGTTCTCAACTAGAAAGTTATGAATCGAAACTATTTTCTAACTACACACAGCGATTATGCTTCGTCGGCTGTTCCGTTTTGACAACCAGTCTCAGTACTAGCGAACGACAAATAGTATGGAAGCTGTTGGGATGACTTTCATTAACACAGTTTCAAGCCACTGATACCAGTGTTTCAAAATGGCATCACATATTAAGGAATGATCCTCATTTTGTCCAGACATGCATCTCAGAATTACTTACATATTGACGTCACCAGATGCAAATAATCCTATGGGGACAGTAGTGACTAAACGCACAGAGGCTGTAGAAATCCTCAGTTCTGCCTGACCAGATTTCTTAGGAGTAGAACATTGTTAACTTGACATTTGAAAGATCAGACTAATACCGTATGAGCACCGGAGGTTGATGTTTTTCACACCGGATATCACTATATGTTTGTAAATCGTATCCGTCACGTCTCCAACTCTCACAGATGCGTAGATACGTGAATTTTTTGAGTACAAACGGCTCACTTGTGAAAGTGACACGGTGGGGCATAGAGTCTGCCAATGACAAAACAGTCCTTTGCATTTAGGGATGTCAAGTACCTACTATATTCACTGACACCGATTTCTATTTGGTTGAGTGTGATTTGAGCGGGTTTTGTTCTATCGTACTGTTAGATGATGTCTTCCTATACAAGATTGAAGAGACTTTTCCGGGCTGTAAATCCATGCCACCGCAACGCCACATCCTTCAAGATTCCTTAAAATGTTGTCAATGTCAAAAGTGAAGGGAAGTGGCTTCAAAACAGTGAATAAACAGTGCTAACCATCTTAATCGATGTAACTTTACAACCTCGTCGATTGATTTTCCCCCCTTGCCTACCGCTCGACCGGTGCCTAACCTCAAATATTGATCACCCTATTGTACCACTTCACACACCAGCCGGCCTTTTCATGTCTTCCACTTTCAATGGTCATGTCTCACTCAGAGGCAAAAAAGAGGACAGCGAACTACTGCTGTGCAGTACACATGCCCTTTGGTAGACAGCCAGCCGGATATCACGTCTACACCTCTGCTTTTGTGTACTACATGGAGTGTAGCGACTTGAAGTGCTGTACTTCTATGCAAAGTACTATGTTTAAATTCAGTCAGTCCTATCAAATCCACAAAATATTGTAGTTGGTTTAACACCCTCCCCTTTCTATCTCTGGAGGATAATAATTTCACCATACCCTTAATTAAAGCACTGCTAACTTTTCGCTTCTTATTCTCTTATAGCATATATTCAGTACTTAGCATTGTGTAAAACGTTTTTTCTTTCCAGGTCTGACAGTAAATCAATGTGCAGATTTAACGATTGCTCGAGAACAAAGTCTTCTGTCCAGTAAAGATATTGATCAATTCCTTTACCTAATCCTCGTAAGATGGGTCAAGTCACGAGCGTATATTGTCTCACCTGAAGCTGAAAAATCCAAGGATCGTTTAGAACCTCAACCTGGTTATGCTTGTCATGTGTCGACATGGTCCCGTATGGATGTGTTGGATCCAGGCAAATTATCTTTAGAGCAAGCGTTTCATTTATCTCAGGTGGGTGTATTAATTGTGTTGCATTATTCATTCTGTCTGTCTCTCTGTTTTCGACATAGAACTTTGCACAAATGTGCGGAAGTTCAAGTCGCCACATTCCGTGTAGCACGCGAAGCAAGAGAAGAAAGTACAAGAAAAGCATAATAGAAACAGTGAGCAGAGGTGTGAGACAAAGGAGTAATAAAGAAAAACAAAACAGTTTCATTGAAGATCATAAGTCACAGGGAGTGGATGCATCTGCGCCACTGAGAACGATTTTGAGCCATGTCACCAATTGTTTCCAACCATAGATTTTTACCGTCCCGAGGACCCCAGCCTGGAAGTCTACACCTTTCTACGTGGCTTAGACCAACTGTTGTGGATTTCATTGACTGATGCCAAGTTTTTGTTTGACCGCCGCTAGCTTTTTTCCAGCCTGACCCTATATCCGCTAACATTGCTCGTCGAGGGAGGCGATGGCTTGGCATACGTAACACATGTCCTAACCATCTCAGTCTTTGTAGCTTCACGACTTCGTCGATTGATTTCCCCTGTTTACCTAGAACTCTACGCCTAACCTCCATGTTGCTCACCTTATTATGCCACTTTACACGGGAAATAGAACGCAGGCACCTATGATCAAAGACAGCTAGTCTTTTCATGTCTTCCACTCTCAGTGGCCAGGTCTCACAACCATAAAGGAGGACGGAGCGGACTGATGAGCAGTACACCCGCCCTTTGGTCGATAGTCGAACATCTCGTCTACGCCAGAGTCGGCGTAAACTAACAAATGCGAAACGAGCCCCTTGTATTCGTGCTGAGATTTCGTCAGAGATCAACCCGTTGGGGCTGATGGTACTTCCCAAATAAGTGAAGCGGTCAACGTGCTCTACCACTTCACTTCCTATTTTTAAACTAGGCGTCGATGTAGTCCAGTCCTGTAACATCATCTTGCATTTGGCGGGAGCGAATCGCATGCCAAACATTCGTAGATTGCGGCTCAAGGTGTTTAGAAGACTCTGCATTTCGTCAGCGTCTTCGCCTAGAAGGACTATATCGTCTGCATATTCCAAGTCAACGAGATTATTCCCGGTAGCAAGTCAATCCCTGAGTCGCTGAAGTCACCTAGGGTTAAGTCCATTAACACATCTATGATGAAGTTGAATAGAAAAGGAGATAATGGGCATCCTTGACGGACACCACTGGTCGTCATCAGTTCAGATGACAGCTCGCCGTAAGCCCTCACCTGGCTGTATGAGTACGAGTAGAGTGCCTTAATCAGTGCAATATATTTTCTTGGAATTCCCTTTACAGCCAAGCATCTCCAGAGAACTTCCCGATCGACAGAGTCGAATGCTGCCTTTAGGTCAAGAAATATAATGACTGTTGGACGCCGGTAGGAATGCCTATGTTCTAGAATCTGTCGGAGGGTGAAGATATGATCAATACACCCTCTTCCTGGTCTAAAGCCTGCCTGGCTCTCTCGTGTTTGTGCTTCCCGAGCACCACTCAGTCTACGCATGATTATTGAGCCTAAGACTTTAGATACTATATTAGTCAAGCTAATCCCTCTGTGATTATCACAGGAAGACTTGTCTCCCTTCTTGTATATGGGGATAATCAGTGACTTACACCAACCCGATGGGACTTCTTCTGATTCCCAGACGCTGCCTAGTACCTCAGTTAATCCGGACAGTAAGCTGTCTCCACCGTACTTAAATACCTCTGGAGTCATTCCATCAGGTCCCGCTGCTTTGCCTAGTTTCAGATTGGTGACAGCTTTAGTAACCTCAGTTAGTGACGGAGGACCTGTGTCTATATCCCATTCAGGGAGGTGTTGGATGCTCGGAAGGTTGAGCGTGGCTGTGGGCAAATTAAACTGCTCCTCATAATGCTCTTTCCAACGATCCAGTCGTCTATCCTGGAGCTAATTATAGTGCCATTTTTTTCCGAGATTGTCTCACTGATGATTTGTCTTCTCCCACCCGTTTCCCTGATGAGTCCAAAGAGTTGCCTGGTGTTGCCTATCCTCAAAGCTTTCTCCATCTCTTTGGCTTTTGTCGCCCACCACTGTTCACGGTCCTTGCGGAGACTTTTCGTAAGTTTCCTCTTGTGCAGCTTTCGCTCCTCATTGAATTCGGAGCTCGCCGGAATAAGTCTTCTAGCATCTATCAGTTCGGATGAGGCGGTGGAGATCCAGTGGTTTTTACTCACCTTTGGGTTTACCTTATTCACAGCTTTTACAGCTGTATCTATGGCTGCCTGGATATTTTTCCAAGCTTCTTCAGGGTGAGCACAGCTGTCGAACACAGATATGTGTTTAGCTAGTTCTTCCTCAAATACGGATTTAGTTTCCTGATCGAGCTGGGGACGTGATGGTTTTACCGCCAGCTGTTTCCTACGTCCGTTCAGTCGTAAGCACACCCGAGCGCGGACCAGTGCATGGTCGGTATCTACGCACGTGTTCCAGAAGGAGCGACAATCTCCTACCGACCCACGCCAACGATAGCTTATTGCTATGTGGTCTATTTGTGTCCAGCGTTGGTTTGATGAAGGGGGTCTCCAAGTCAAACAGTGTCTCTCCTTGTGTTTAAAGTTAGTGCTTACAAGAAACAAATGATTATCAGAGCAGAACTGTAGGAGACGGTCACCGTTGTCGGTTCGCTGGCACGGAACTCCATAGGTGCCACCGACATCCTTCTCAGATTGACACAATTTCCCTACTTGAGCGTTAAAGTCACCAGCTAGAACGACTATGTCTGAGCGTTTAGCCTTTCTCACCAAACTAGACAGCTTTTGGTAGAACTCATCCTTCGTTTCATCTGAACTGCAGTCAGTGGGGGCGTAGGCGGAGATTACGAAAAGGCATCGGCGAGTAGTGCAGTCCTTCCTCCTTCTTACTGATCCGTTCAGGCGGACAGCACACATTCGGCTATCTACCGGGATCCAGTCAAGCAATGTCTTTTCTGCCCTAGTACTCAAAGCTATCCCTACGCCAGCTAATCCTCGTGAACTAGCTGTGGCATCTCCTGACACCCTCAAGGTGAATTTTGCAGATTCAACCTGTTGGCCAGGTGGGGTTAGGTGAATAACCACACTTGGGTCTTGTATGCGTGTTTCTGAAACACAGCATACATCAATGGCTCGTGATGCCAGGGTCTTGGCTAGTGATGCTTGTTGTCCTATTTGGCAAAGTGTCCTAACATTAAGAGCTCCTATATGAAATTGGTGGCGCGGCTTTAAGAGGCTGTCGGTGGTGGTTTTTTGGCTTCCATCGTTTTTAGTGGACGCAGAGTGGAGAGCTATCAAGTCGAGGAGTTGCATCAGTGGAAGGAAGGCAAGATGATAGAGATGAAGATGAAGACAAAGATGAGTGAGTAATAGAGAGGTTTCGTGTGCATTTCGGATTGTGAGGGCGATTGTTACTTCCCGGCTGCCCACACCATGGATGTCATAAGTGTTTTTAAAGTCCGAATTCATCGGACAACCGGGTTAATCCCCACCTCCCCACACACGCACACACAACCCTCTGTCGTTGTGCTAAATAGGAAGTTAGATAACTAAAGTAGTAGATATGTGACTCAGTGGTTTAAGCACTCGGTTTTTTTTAACGGATGCTTCACAGATTCAAGTCCTACTCATCCCAATTTTTAAGCTCAGGCAAAACTGGCTAGTATTGCCACCACCGATACGACAAGTACGACTGTTAACTTCCTACATGACTGGAAGTAAACGGTGTGTTGCCAGGCTATTTAGATGCATTAGAATAAATGTATCCAAATACTAGTTCACCTATAATCATATGTTTTTTTTGAATAACTTAGTAACACTGTAGTGGTTAGGACTTTCGCCCACCATTCACATGGTCCGAGGTTCGAACCCCTGCCGACGAACACCTGATATCAATGATCGGTCTGCCAAATTTGGGCTACCGATATCGCATGTTGAAGATTCCATAGTTGTATCAAAAGTACTGTGTAAAATCAAGGTATAATAAAAAATTGAATTGAATTTTTGATTTTCCCGTCGATTGATTTGACCGAAGTACTCGGTCTCAGGTTGACATGTCGGCTTCTTGTGCAGATGCTTCGACGATGTCTGGGGATTTGATTTGTATACAATTGGTGGATGGTGGCTAGCAGTGGAATCCAGGATGCGCATTTCGTCCTATTTGGTACTCGTCATCTGGATGTACCTGCATTTCTCAGTGAGTGATGATGTTCCCACCGAGGCTCGAACCCAGTGCCCATAGTTTCAAACGCCAAAGCGTTATCCACTAGACCACTTCAATTCAATAATTAATATGACCCGATGCACAAGAGGTGGCTGTCGTGGCCTAAGTGGTCTAGTGGATAACGCTTTGGCGTTTGAAACTATGGACACTGGGTTCGAGCCTCGGTGGGAACATCATCACTCACTGAGAAAAGCAGGTACATCCAGCTGACGAGTCCCAAATAGGACGAAATGCGCATCCTGGATTCCACTGCTAGCCACCATCCACCAATTGTATATAATAAAAAATATTAATAAAAATGATAATGAGTGAACTAGTATTCAGATACATTCATTCTAATCTAATTGAATTAGCCTACCAACATGTCGTTTATCTTCAGTTATATTCACCCCCCATGAACATCCGTAACTAACTGTTCATTCGACGAAGAGACTTATTTCAGAACAGTTGAAATTCAAAGCGACTAGTCCTAAACGATGTGAGTCATTTATTTGATAAAATTCAATGAGGTGTTGAATTTCATTCCAGGAGCTGAATAGTAAATCAACCAGCCCGCTTCGTAACCTGAACGTCCTAGTTTCCATCCCTTGTGGGGTCATGACTGCATAATGCTGATGAAGAGTTCCAAGCTAGGACGAAACAGTTGTCCAGTACTTACTGTTAGTTTTCACTGTTTCTCCTAACTGATATCAATCCATGATCAAATAAAAAAAGTTTATGGTTATATCAATGATCCATTGTAATCCATCTTATCTATCGACTACGAAAACTCACCACTTTTGGTACAACTGAAGAGAAACATGAATTTTAACCGATGTCAGCTCATGATGAAATCCTGTAACCAGCCCATCAAATCCTTACAAAGTAATGCTTGAATATCAGTGGGATGCTCACTGGTGACTGGCCCTATTGAGGTGGGTAGTTACTTGGCGTTCTAGTACGAAGTCGTGACCATTAGGGTACATGAGATCGGGCGTGTGAGCACAAATACCCGCCATCGGTGACATTGGCTAGTGGTCACGCCATGTCGTGAATAAGAAGAAGTTAGAATTCATGGGCTAGCCATTGGATTGGGTCTCAATGAGTGGCGTAATGGTCTACGAGATCACTCGTTTTGCAACCAGAAGGTCCTGGCTTCGAACCCTTGTGGTGGGTGCGTGCTGTGAAGAGTCCCAAACTAGAGGGACGAAACAGCTGGCCGTCCGGTACTCCCGGCTGTTTTTTCAATGGTCCTCTAAATGATGTCAGTTCATAATGAAATCCTGTTACCGATCAATCCAATCCCTACAAACCAATACATGAATAAAAATTTATTAGCCGAAATGAGCTAATTTGCTTGAACACACAACTTGTAATTACTCTTTCCATTAATGCCTAGATGAGATAACTGCTCATGAATTTTTCTCGATTACGCTAATATTCTTATCAAAAATTTTCAAATATCATCTCACTGTGGTATTACTATAATAGATCAACTTTTGCCCACTTTTCATTTTTAGGTTTATTTATATGAATTTGATGAAGACTTAGAATTACGCACAAAACTTGAACATGTTATGCCGTATGCTGTTGTAAAATGTCGTTGGAAGTTAACTGCTGATGCAGCACAAAAACTTGATCCAATCTCTACAGCGAGTGGATCAATTTTAATTATAACACCTAAAAAACCTGAAGTGATGAAATGTTTTATACCTACAAATCGTACAGCTCTTCTACCGACTCCTCAAATTCCTTGTATTGGTAAAAAATCTCGTAAACACTCAAAAACAGGTAGTGCGCTGACTTTTGAAACTAAAGCAAAATCTGTGAGTGTTTATTTTCCTTTAAAACGTTTTTTTTTTGATTATTTTCTATCAATAGTGTGAACCTCATTTGGCTATTTAATATAATTTGTACGGTATTATTATTATTAGTATTATTATTGGTCCCTTGACTTCGAACATAGGTCGTCAACAGGACGTCTTCACTTCTTCTTACTCTCTGTGGTCCTCTTCAATTGGTGTTTCATTTCCTCCTTTCATTTGTCTCCATGTCACCGTCGAAGTGACACCCCACTCGTCGTTTTCCATTCGCGGGTCTCACTCGAGGGTTTGCTTGGCGCTCCATGTCATCTGACGGTCTCTTCAGTGTGTAACTGACTCATCTCAGTTTTCCCCTACATAATTGTTAAGCGATAATTTCGTGCTGCTAGTTCTTGCTGGCCGGCTATTTAATCTTCAGTTTGAAGTTAGCGGAAGGTGCAGCTATTGATAAAAGTCTGCAGTAGCCTGTTGGGAAGGCTTTTCGTGATGCACCGCTCGCCAATGATTTTCTGACCCATATTGATTATATCTTCACCCTTCGACAGATTCTAGGACATAGGCATACTTACCAGTGGCGTCCAACAGTCATTATATTTCTTGACCTAAAGGCAGCATTCGACTCTGTCGGTCGAGAAGTTCTCTGGAGATGCTTGGTTGTAAAGGGAATGCCGAGAAAATATATTGCACTGATTAAGGCACTCTACTCGTACTCATACAGCCAGGTGAGGGCTTACGGCGAGCTGTCATCTGAACTGGTGACGACCAGTGGTGTCCGTCAAGGATGCCCATTTTCCCCTTTTCTATTCAACTTCATCATAGATGTACTACTAAACTTAACCCTAGGTGACTTCAGTGACTCAGAGATTGACTTGCTACCGGGAAATAATCTCGTTGACTTAGAATATGCAGACGATATAATCCTTCTAGGCGAAGACGCTGACGAAATGCAGAGTCTTCTAAACACCTTGAGCCGCAATCTACGAATGTTTGGCATGCGATTCGCTCCCGCCAAATGCAAGATGATGTTACAGGACTGGACTACATCGACGCCTAGTTTAAAAATAGGAAGTGAAGTGGTAGAGCACGTTGACCGCTTCACTTATTTGGGAAGTACCATCAGCCAGTGCCAAGGGGTTGATCTCTGACGAAATCTCAGCACGAATGCACAGGGCTAGTTTCGCTTATGCCAGTTTACGCCGACTCTGGCGTAGACGAGATGTTCGACTATCGACCAAAGGGCGGGTGTACTGCTCATCAGTCCGCTCCGTCCTCCTTTATGGCTGGCTGTGAGACCTGGCCACTGAGAGTGGAAGACATGAAAAGACTAGCTGTCTTTGATCATAGGTGCCTGCGTTCTATCTCTCGTGTGAAGTGGTATAATAAGGTAAGCAATATTGGGGTTAGGCACCGGTCTAGTGCTAGGTAAACAGGGGAAATCAATCGACGAGGTTGTGAAGTTACAAAGACTGAGATGGTTAGGACATGTGTTACGTATGCCTACTCATCGCCTTCATCGACGAGCAATTTTAGCTGATATAGGGTCAGGCTGGAAAAAAGCTAGCGGCGGTCAAACAAAAACTTGGCACCAGTCAATGAAATCTACAACAGTTGGTCTAAGCCACGTAGAAAGGTGTAGACTTCCAGGCTGGGGTCCTCGGGACGATAAAACCCAATGGTTGGAAACAATTGGTGACATGGCTCAAAATCGTTCTCAGTGGCGCAGATGCATCCACTCCCTGTGACTTATGATCTTCAATGAAACTGTTTTGTTCTTCGTTATTACTCCTCCTTTGTCTCACACCTCTGCTCACTGTTTCTATTATGCTTTACTTGTACTTTCTTCTCTTGCTTCGCGTGCTACACGGAATGTGGCGACTTGAACTTCCGCACATTTGTGCATAGTTCTATGTCGAAAACAAACATACAGACAGTGCCCCAGTAACAATGATGATATAAAACAAACACACACATACACGCATAGTCATAAGATTCCTTCTGTTTGGACAGGTCAAATTTGAAGTTTGTTGAAGTGTTGGAAGTGATTCACGTCGGCGTACTGCTCTACTTATAACGACAATGAACAGAAATTCAAGGCCTCAGCTATTCTCGAAAAAAAGTACTTTGACAGTGTACACCAAACAAAAACAGCCAATCATTGCTAACTGATTAAGTGTATTATGTAGGACTATGTGTTCATCACACCCAACGGAACAGATCGACATCGTCACCATCACGTAATAATTTGAAAATATCTTTGATGGTGATGAAGTTAAAGAAGAAGGGGACTCCACAAAGCTAAGTAGATGGAAGCCACCCTTCCCCTCGAGGGTTTGACTTGAGACCAGGTCAGTCAGACAGCTTCACCGAAATTCGTTCACATAATCCATTCGATCGTTTCGGGTTCTGGAGTCCATTCACACCATATTTTGGAATCAGGGTTTTCCAGCTCCCCTAGGTAGTAGAGATCAGCATGTTCACCAGTCCGGTTGTAAGCACCAGACGTTCACAATTATCCTTTCAATTTTTTGGAAACACTGAATAGGAGGCACGTGTTGGAGGCTATGGACTTGTGACTTTCGGAAGGAATTATTAGAGCCTACCGACCTGTCGGGGTTGTACCAGGTCGCTTATTGGGACGATTCTTATGATACATCGATTGATAAAAAACAATGAATAGAATTTTAATTTTAAAATTCTAAATAATTCTATTTTTAGACCACTAGTGCTCTCTAAAAATACTAATTTTTCTCATAAAAACCAAATTATACGTGTTCTCACTTTTTTTACGCCTTAGAAAAATAACTGTCCTCCTACTGTGCCGCCAAGAGGTGAGAATCCCTATCAGTATGTAGCACGAGGACATATGCATAGTCCACCTATGCCTAGTGGAACACTTCGCAGTCCTCCTCCTCCTGCCCTTTCGCCTAACTCTGGACCACCACCACCATCAGTTACTACTCCTGTTCCTTCTGCAACCTGTCATTCTGTTGATGGTAGAATAGATGGCAATTCAGAACACTTTTCTTCACCAACATATTACCAACAGTCTACAGGTCCTATGAATTCTCTTATAGCTTATGCAAGAAAATTACAAGCAACAACTTGTGAATTACTTCAGTTTACTGATTGCTCTGAGATGCCTGTTAATGAAATGAAAAATGCTCAAAATGTTGTGGGTATTGCACTACTTGTCTGGGGTTATCCAGCGCCAGAGTATTCGTTAACAGTAGAAATATCTACTTTTCGTAAAGGAAAATTAACTTTATTTGACGGCATGTAAGTTTGTGTTTAACAGTATTTTTAATGTTCTCCGTTCCCAGTTGATTTGATACCCCGTTGGGTTTTTTTTAGTAAATTTAGTACTCCTCGTGATGTGTTTTGTCGGCTAAAATTACGGAGTATTACACAAAAATCATAGTGTATTTCATCATGAACTGGTATTGGTTAGAGGACCATTGGAAAACCAGCTTGGAATACTGAACAGCCAGTTGTTTCGTCTCCATAAACTGGGAGTCTTTACCAGTACTCACCTGCTACAGGGGTTCGAACCTAAGACCTTCTGGTTACAAGGCGAGCGATCTCGTAGACCATTAAGCCACTCATTGGAACCTGATCCCATGACAAGCCCATGAATTCGAACTTCTACCAGTTCATTATATGGCGTAGCCAGTGGCTAATGCGGTGAATGAAATCCTACAACCAATCAAATCCCTGCAAACCAACACCTGAAAATCATAGTGTATCGATTGATTAGGAATTCTAGAGTATTGATCTATAAAGAAATGCAGTTTTAGAATTGTTTTCATCAGGAATCGACATCAACAGAAGAAGAAAGAAACTACTGGAGGCCAACAGTGCATTTATCTTCGTGCTTTATTCTGTATTTATTTGTTGCCTGAGAGACTGACTGTGAGTTTCAACATAAAACTTTGGTTTGATTGAGCACTCGTCATTAACTAGTCTAATGTGCCTAGTGCTTTGTTTGAGGCAGACTGAATTCTGCCAGTCAAGTTTGCTAACCAGCATGAAACCTAGGTTCAGGGCTTCCTGCTGATTGCCTCCAACCATCTATAATCAACAGTTCACAGTGTACCATGATGTGGCCACATTGCAAACTTGACTAAGAGAATTCAGTCTGCACCAAAGATAAGACTAGAGGCATTACACTAGTTACTGACTAGTGTTCAACCAAAGTATTGGATACAGTCCTGTAGGAGGAGGTCAATTATGAGCTCGAGTAGCTCAGTGACAATGTCTCTGACTGCAGGCGGCATTGGATGACACGGGCTTGAGTCTCAGAAGAGACATTAATTCCCTCAAGATTGCAGATACGTCTTGTTGACGGGTCGGTGTCAACTAGCACGAAACCTAGGATCCGGCAAGTCTTCCTGCCGATTGTCTCTAACTACCTAACAAAACTTTGCACTGTAGGACAATACTTAAAGTGTTACCGCGTTCCATTTAGCACAAAAAGTTAGGGAGAATGGAGATACCAAAGAATTATGACAAAGAAAAGTGTGTGAGAGAGAGAAAGCAAAGTAACATGGAAGACATTCACAAAGAGTAAACTCTGAGTCATTAAGTACGATTTTGAGCCATTATCATCAATGGTCTCAAGCTATCGGTACTCATCGAAGCAGTGTACACCTACCTCCTACATTGCTCATGTTGCATAATGCAATGATCCAACGGGCTACGCTGGCTGGAACTAATGTTTTTGTGTATCCTACCGCGCCAGAACGGAAGTTTGAATAGTGGTTACACTAAAAGCAGTTATTATCATGTAATGTAAGCTGTGTACACAATGTTTTGTGGGTCTGTGAATTGAGTCGTACTGTTGGGGAGAGGGATAGAGATGTTACAGCTGTAAGGTGGTGTTTCTCTCAAATGACCAGCAAGCCACATATACTGACTTTGTGGAGGTCCTTGTGTGGTGGTAATATCTTGACGCAGACACAATTCCAGAGCCAATGAAAGTCGATCATGTGTGTGTGGTTGACCGGACTTAAACACTTATCTTCTAGACCCTGCTGAGAAGTAATAACCCACACACTTCCATTTGTTGACTACACGTGATGAAATTAGCTGCAGTGACAACTACTGTTAAAATTGTCACTATTTTGTATCATCATTCTAGCTAAAACCCTAACTAATACTGACTTATTATTTATTATTATTGTTCCCTTGGGTTCTTAGTGGAACATACGGCTTCAACTGCACGTCTCCACTCACTTCTGTTTTCTGCTGTCTGTCTGTCTGTTTTCGACATAGAACTTTGCGGAAGTTCAAGTCGCCACACTCCGTGTAGCACGCGAAGCACGAGAAGAAAGTACAAGAAAGCATAATAGAAACAGTGAGCAGAGGTGTGAGACAAAGGAGTAATTTTCACCTGCATCCATGTTAGTCCATACTGTTCCAACTCCACTTCACACTGTCTCCTTCATGTCACCCTTGCATTGACGACCCACTCGCCGCTTTCCTTTCGGGTTCCACTCGAGCAATGGCCTGACGCGCGATGTCACCCGGCGGCCTCCTCAGCGAGTGTCCAATGTGTCATCTCCACTTTCTCTTGCATATTTGTTGGTTGGCGATTGGTTCTTGTTTTGTTTATTCCCATGGTTTCTTGTTAGTGATTCTTTCCGACCATCTAATCTTCAGTATAGAGCGAAGACAGTTGTTGTTGACGAAGGTCTGCAACAGGCTGCTGGAAATATTCTTTGTGACCCTGAGATGTGTATTTATGCATTTATCAATCTCAGCGGAAATAAGAATGGTCATAATTTCAGTATTGAACTAAAGCTACTAACGTTCACCTCATAAATTGATGAGAGTAAGTCAATGCGCGTTGATGATAGCAGTCGGATGAGGCTATAATGCTTACTGCAGTTAACTTTTGGCTAAGAACTAGCCAGCAGAAAACCAAATTTTCCGAGAATCAGAAAACAATGGAAAGTTTTTATAGCCCACTTGATCCAATGTCAAATCAAGTTAGAAACAGATGGTTATGAAGAATAGAATACCATTCAACCACTCAGTTCATATTCAACAGTGTGGAGATGTGATACATTGACTTTAGCATTCGATTTTCAGTCAATGGGTCCTGTGTTGGAGTCCCACTCCATCGACTTCAGCCTGGGCAACCATTGTTTCCCCCCCCCCACACACACACATACAATGAGCATACCTTTTAGCTTCAGTTAACAAAGATCTAACTAACACTTATATCGTAGTTCTCATTACCTGACTTCTGTAATTTTTGTGATACTCATTAATTAATAGTTATCCTCTCCATGGCGGCCTACTAAAATCGTTGGGCTACCTAATTTTCCTTAAATCATAACGAGTCGAATTTTCTTTAGTTATACCTTGTTTTGCCAACGTATTAAACTCCATGAAGAACAGTCTGTACTATTGTGCATTTCTGTATGACTTCCAGCATATGCCACTTGGAAGTTCATCGGCGGATAGAAGCATCTTGAAGAGTTTGTATATTTTATTATTACTCCTGTGGGTTCCGATTAGAACATAAGACTTCATCTCCAATTCTCTGCAGTCCTCTCCAGCTAACTCCGCGAATGTCTATAGTATTTCGTTTCCACTTCGCACGATCTCCTCCATGTCACCCTCGAAGTGACACCCAAATCATCGTTTACCATCTGTGTTCCACTGTGTTCACTTGGACTGCTTTCTTCTCTGCCTGCTTCTTCTGCTAGTTTGTTCATTTTTCGCTGTAGATCTCCAAGTCTGCATAGCATTAGGAATCAACGATCCACGAAATCCAAATCTTCTTGAGTCTTCTTACCGGCGGCCCAACGTTTTTCTGTCTTCTTACTCCCTTGCCTGCACAGTCTTCCTCCAAAATCCAATCCACCACAATTGAAAATATCATGCGTGATCATAGGCAGACACAGTTTCGGCTTACTTCAAAGGCCCCGCTGAGTTTTCCGTTGTTCATCACTTTGACGCGTGTCGTTGTCATATAGCCTGTGCTGTTGTTGAATAATAAGGTCGATAAAAACTTTGGTCAGTCCATAGAGTGTTAAAGTATCAGTAGTGACTTCAGCGACTCAGGGATTGACTTGCTACCGGGGAATAATCTCGTTGACTTGGAATATGCAGACGATATAGTCCTTCTAGGCGAAGACGCTGACAAAATGCAGAGTCTTCTAAACACCTTGAGCCGCAATCTACGAATGTTTGGCATGCGATTCGCTCCCGCCAAATGCAAGATGATGTTACAGGACTGGACTACATCGACGCCTTGTTTAAAAATAGGAAGTGAAGTGGTAGAGCACGTTGACCACTTCACTTATTTGGGAAGTACCATCAGCCAGCGCCAACGGGTTGATCTCTGACGAAATCTCAGAACGAATACAGGGGGCTCGTTTCGTATTTGCCAGTTTACGCCGACTCTGGCGTAGACGAGATGTTCGACTATCGACCAAAGGGCGGGTGTACTGCTCATCAGTCCGCTCCGTCCTCCTTTATGGCTGGCTGTGAGACCTGGCCACTGAGAGTGGAAGACATGAAAAGACTAGCTGTCTTTGATCATAGGTGCCTGCGTTCTATCTCTCGTGTGAAGTGGTATAATAAGGTAAGCAATATTGAGGTTAGGCACCGGTCTAGTGCTAGGTAAACAGGGGAAATCAATCGACGAAGTTGTGAAGTTACAAAGACTGAGATGGTTAGGACATGTGTTACGTATGCCTGGTCATCGCCTCCCTCGACGAGCTATGTTAGCGGATATAGGGTCAGGCTGGAAAAAAGCTAGCGGCGGTCAAACAAAAACTTGGCACCAGTCAATGAAATCTACAACAGTTGGTCTAAGCCACGTAGAAAGGTGTAGACTTCCAGGCTGGGGTCCTCGGGACGATAAAACCCAATGGTTGGAAACAATTGGTGACATGGCTCAAAATCGTTCTCAGTGGCGCAGATGCATCCACTCCTTGTGACTTATGATCTCCAATGAAACTGTTTTGTTCTTCGTTATTACTCCTTTTTTTGTCTCACACCTCTGCTCACTGTTTCTATTATGCTTTTCTTGTACTTTCTTCTCTTGCTTCGCGTGCTACACGGAATGTGGCGACTTGAACTTCCGCACATTTGTGCAAAGTTCTATGTCGAAAACAGAGAGACAGACAGACAGAAAGTAGCAGTAGTAGTAGTAGTTTCCAAATTACTTCTCAGTCACCTCTGTTGAAGGTCTGTTCAAAATCCATGAAATTGAAGTAGAAGGTTGATGGTTCTGTTATAATGTAGATATAAAACCATGTTATACATAAATATGTTGTTCATAATAAAATGAGAAGGAAAAATAGACGCGTTATCAACAAATTGATCCAAGTACCAGGATAACATGTTTGACAATCAAGGTTCATATGATTATCTATTGGCGACGATTGAATGTTTCATATCAGTCATGTTCAGGTTTTTGTCGAATATCATTTCTTTTTTATGAGTTTGACTACGGATTGTTTTATAAGTTAGGGAAGCATTGAAAACCACCAGCTGGGAGTACTGTACAGCTATTTACTTCATCCTAGTTTGAAAATCATCGGCAGTACGCACCTACCGCCACGGTTTGAACTCAGGATCTTACGGTTACAAGCTCAGCCACCGGGATCAGACTCATCAATGGCCCATGAATTCTAACTTCTACCGATTCGTGATTTGAACGCGACCACCAACCAATGTCATCAGTGGCGAATCCATCCTCACACTTGACTGGATGGACCTCACTGGCCAGGACTTCTTACTAGGATTCCAGGAAACTCCATCCTGTAACAAGTCACTAGCGTGCATCTGAATTCATTTTCAATATCCTTTCAGCTATGCAGGCACATAAATCTGTCCATGGTATAGATGTTTGCTTAGTTGTCACACCTCATAAGGCTTCATTCTTGAACCTTGAAGTTTCAACAACAGTACATATTTATATATTCTTAGCTACATTAAAGTTTGGCTAGGTCAGAGGACAATAATTTGTGCTGATTGGTTGACAACCAGCCCAAGGTGAAACAAGTCTTCCAATGAGATTATTTCACGTTCACATTGTAAACTAAATCCAGATTTGAGGAATAAACTTGAAATATCAACTTCAGTTTCTGGCGGCTTCCTATCAATGTGCATCAGTTCACACCAACCTTGCTTCTTTACTACATGGCTTACGACAGGCTAAGCAAGGTTTCGGAGTCAGCCGGTTGGGAATTGAATCCCGGACTGGACTAGGTAGGTACGTTGTTGATGAGCATTCTGTCACTTAAATTTCACTAACCCATCCAGAAAATTCCTATTCTATGTATCTGACTGCTGCTTCGGCTGAGGTGGTTACGAATCTCTGATGAAATATTTTGTCTATTCCTTCGAGAGGTGTGGACAGATTCGCCTTTCTGACGTCTGCTAACGAATAGTCCCACCTTCTTGTACTACCATTGTTTGTATAAATTAAAATCAGTCTGTCAGGAAAGGTTTATGACACTTGTGTTGCTTTCGCCATATATATATATATATATATATAAAGCTGTTTTATTGGTAACAATCTGTGTGTAGTTTACTTTCGGTGATATCAGTAATCTCTAGACAGTTTAATCGTTAAACAGTATTTCATTGCAATTCAATAATAATAATCATAAAAACAAAAATTTTATCCATCAAAATTTTATTTCTTAATCCGCATTACAAAAAAACACAACCATTTCACAGTTTTCAACCATGCCTGCATATTCAACGTTTGGTACCGCATACATCTCTACTCTATGAATTGGCTGGTTTAAAACCATGGTCTACAATACCGTACAATACCGTCAATAATGGACCTCCATGTTTAGTAGTCACTATTTCACGTGATCAAGAATGGTGTATTCCACGAGTGCATCCAACTAAAGCATCATCTTTACAATCTGATCCAAGTCCATTTGCTGGTTATCGTGGTAATTATTTCCGTATAACTTTACACGAATCTGGTGGACGTCGTACAGAAATGGCACAATTTTGTCTAGCTTTATATGAAAAAGGAATGGTGAATATAAATCTTTCTTCTTTAACCTGTTCTACATAGATATTAATAATAATAGTAATAATAATAATGTGTTGATTACTTATATTTATTATTATTATTTTGTCTTATATTGAAAAATCTATAAAAGTAGACATTTCAGCAAATGAAAATTCACTTCTGGCGTCAATTTCATTTTGATAGCTGCACTATCACACTGTTTCTATCATATATATGAAGTCAGATGAACGGTAAGTTTGTGGAGAATAATGAAAATTTCTCGGGATACTGGAGTCTACATAGAGTAGAGTGCATGCTCCATTAAAAGCTGCTGTTTTGGATTCTAACGTCTCAAGGACTCCAGCCACCTCGTTACATGGCTAGCTCAAACCGATATAGTCGAATACTTCATGGATTGCTTCCAAGTTTTAGTTTCATCATACCCAACACTTATATAACTTAATCCTATATCAGCTAATACTTCTCGATGAGAGAGACGGCGCGAGCTGTTGACATACACGTAATGCTTATCCTATTCATCTTAATCAATACAACTTCACAATGTCTCTTCGTTTGACCTTCATTCATTACTGTAAAGCACAAGAGATAGAGAAAACGCAAACACCTCCGTCCTCATCAAGTCTTCCACTTTCAATGGCCATGTTTCACAGCTGTAGAGAAGAATAGGGCAATTGATACACGTCTTTTGGTTGACAGTTGAATATCACGTCTACGCCAAGGAGATGACATAATAAGTTGGCGAATACACCACGAGGTACAATTTCACTTTATATCTTTAAGCTAGGAGTTTGTGCAGAAGCAGTCTTTCATTATCATCTAAAATTTGGTCCAGGGGTGGGGGGCTAATCGCATTCCCCCAAAAACCGATTAAAATTTCTGTTCACGGTGTGTTCAAAAGACTCTGCATTTTGTCAGCCTCACAAACTGACTAAACATATAAATTCAAGTCAATCACTAAGTTCAATAGACACAATTAGATACATGGTAGAAAGATTGAGCATATCTGGAATTCTATACATAAAGTTTTCAGGTCCAAGATGTAATAAGACGAAAAGTAGAAGGAATAAAGTATCGCCAATAAAACTAAAAATATTACACAATGACAACGTCAAGTGAATGAAAAAAACCAAGTCGAAGACAATAAAGACATCGTACAAACTGTTCTTGTGCACAAAATTTTTGGCTTTTTGTCGATACGGCATACCCAACATGAAATACAAATACACTCGTGCTTATTTTTGGTGATTTTTTTTCGGAGCTTATAGACAATCTTTGAAGGATGCATCAGAAGCTGTGTAGTACAACACTTTGTGATCTGGAGGAATTGATGACTCTTCACTCTCTTTTCAACATTGTCATCCACTGTTCAGAAATTCCAACACACACACCACAACAAACGTTCTTGTTATCGTCTATCACAATCCATATATATATAATAGTACAGCTCTGTGCGTCGGTGGCACAGTGGTTAGGACGCTCGTCGACCATTCACATTTTCCGAGGTTAGATACCCGGCCACCAACGCACTCCTTTACCTCGCTAAGCCAGAAATAATGCTGGTAAAGAGGAAAGGTTGGGCATGTAAAAAAATAACACTGCTACAGAAACTTCAAGCCACTAGCTTGAGGTCCCATATTCCACTGGGAACGTGAAGGAAAAAAAGTACAGCTATGGAAGGACTTCATGTAAGCATAGTGAAGGTAACTAACATCAACCAACACCAATCATTATCAATGGAAGAAATTTGGAAGAGGTCAATTTCTTCACTTATCTGAGAAGCATCGTTTCAACTACATGAGGATTTCTACTCCAGAATCGTTAAAAGCAAGACAGACTTTCATCACTCTCCAGTCGGCATGGAAATCTTCTACAGTCAGTATAAACAATAAATTTCGGAGTTTCAACACACATGTTAAGTCAGTCAGTTCTTCTCTATGGGTCAGAAACTTGAGGGACGCATCATGATAACATTTCCAATGACCTTTTTTTTTCTTTACTGGCTCCATATTGTGAAGATCGAATCGCTGGTGGGAAGGAAACTCTGGGAACGAACCAACAGGCGAGAATCCATTGCTCAATAAACATGTAGAAGAAAGCGGGGATGGATTGTGGGCGCACACTGTGGAGACCATCGAATGACATCTCACACCAGGCCATTTCTTGAGTAAGACCCTAACGAGAGACGGCTATTGGGGCGTTACTTTGAGGAAACATGAGAAAGATGAGAAACTACGTGTGACCGTGAGACCAGGTAAGGAGAACGGCAAAAAATAGAACAAAGTGGGGACTTGCTGGCGAAGCCCTATGTTCCACTCGGAGCCCGAATTAACAATATTGGTATGCGATATAGCTATAGAAATGAAATGCGCAGAAACGAATTTTCTTTGCTGATATCTTTGGTTTTATGTTGTAATTTTTTTTTACTGTTCACATTTCCAGTTTCGGTAGATACGCGGTGTCTCCTTTTAGAGATGGTATGCAGAGCCTCGCCTTCCTTGCCAAGCTTACTAGGGTCTAAGCGATATTCTGGAGTGTGTCATCCGGGAATTGAACCTCGAACCATGTGTGCAGTGCGGTGCAGTTGGCGAGTATTTCGTTCTTAGTCTGTAGTCATATATGTGATATGTCCAATTACAGAGGCTTGTTCAATACGAATGCTTCACCGCGTTTTTATGCCTTTACCCCAATCCACCCCCACAATATCTGCTTTGTTTCGACAGTATATCTCAGATAGAAAGACCTAATAAAAGAAAATGTGAGATCTTGCCTCAAGGTAAAAATTGTTAGAAGGCAAATAAACCAATCTCATGTCTGACTAGCTGGTTTTATGAAGAAAATAAATCGGCAAGCGTGTTAGTCATATTCTGATACACTTGAACCCTACCATATTTCTCCTTCAACTGGTACTCCACATACTCTTTTAGCCGAATTGATTTTTACTGTTAGCGTGTTGTCATCACAGTGACGTGGGCATTGTGATCGGGTGTGCGTCAGTGGCAAAGTGGTTAGGACTCTCGCCGACCATGCACATGGTCCGGGGTTCGAGGCCACGCCGGCGCACACCTGATATCTATGGTCAGCCTGCAAAATTTGGGCTACCGATATCCATGCTGAAAATTCCATACTTGTACCGAAAATACAGTGTGGAATCAAGCTGTAAATCAAAAATAAAGAAAATAATGAAAAATAAATTCCCATTGTACAGTAATCACACACATTCTGATGATACATTATTATTTATTTACTGTTCACAGCATTTCGAGTACCATTCATTGCTTATAGTCTCACATACCATTTTGATAAACTGATGAGAGGGGCCATAAATTTACTCTGTGAAACCTTATGTAAAATTCTTAACCAAGCCGGATAGATATTAGTGGTATTTTAATCAAATCCACAGACTCAGTTAGAAATGAACTACCGTTGGAGTTAAAGGATCCAGTTGTGTCCGTTATACGCAAAATAATTGAGTTTGTCACCTAATGCTCTGCAATGACTGTCAGGCCAGATACATAAGACAAAGTAGGACGACAGGCTATAAAAATCTAGATTAATTGACCTGACCTCAGGAAGATAAAATATTCCATTATATATGGTGGATATGCCAACCAATCATTTGACCTGGGGTTCGAGTCTCGGCCGACGCACTTCTAAAGCCCGCTAAGGCCGGTAGGTAGCCTGATAAAGAAGAAAAGTTGGGCGTACGTCCACCGCGTTAAGAAACAAAACCACTGCTGCTGAAACTTCAAAGCTGAAACCCTATTTTCCAGTTTGGACGTGAAGGAATAAAATAAATAATGTGGAGGATACGCTTCTACGTAGAACAACAAATTAGCTGTAATAAGGTGACAGAATAAATAATCTTTGTGTGACAAACATGACGGATGGGAACGTGACAAGTTATCATGGATTCGATAGATGATCTTAAAACCATAGTCAGAGTTAGTTGTTCTAGAATATAGAGCTTCTCACACTCTTCCTTTCTCCTATGTTGTAAAACTATTCTGGAACTTGCTGTCATGCTCGTATGGAAAGCATTCTCTAACCTTCGGCCTATTTAATGTTTCTTACTCCACAACTCCAAACTGAATGAATACTGAACAGAGGGATATTCAATCGATTTCGATTAGTTCTACCATCGATTGTAATTTTGATATCCGTTTATTCAAACTACTTATTTATATTTCCCTCTTTTTTGACGCTGACCAACTCTTTTTTGTTTGATTGGTTGGAGGATTTCATCATGAGCTGACATCAGTTAGAGAACCATTAGAAAAGGAGCTGGGAATACTGGACAGCCAGCTGTTCTGTCAGCCTAAATTGGGAAGTCTGCCTCAGCAGTACGCATTCACCACAAGGGTTCGAACCCAAGACCTTCGGGTTACTAGGCGAGTGATCTCGTAGACCCGATCTAATATATCGCTAGCCCATGAATTCCAGCTTCTGCCAATTCATGAAACACCGTGCACGACCATTTCACAATATTCTCTTCGATGAGTTACTGCCTCATCTTATTTTGTTAACAATTCTCCTTTTTTCTTTTCAGGCCGGTGTGATTTCTATCCCGTGTGATGAATCAAGCATAATGTTCGTATTCCCTGAGTGTCAGTTCTCTCAGTCAATAGGTAGGTATTGGTAGTGTTTTGGTGTATACTGTATATACATATGCAATTCTTGTTGTCTTCTTATGAGAACTAAACGTCAATTTTTTTTTACCTATTGTGTACTTGGAAACTTTTCTTATTGATGAAAAGTAATTCAGACCAGAAAAGATTTTTGTTAGTATTAGTTGGGATCATGATATGTGTGTTTTGTTGTTGACAGTCTATTATATTTTGCTTTGTGTATATGGATCGATATTTCATTATAACTGACGTGCTTTTGTCCGTCCACTAACTAAATAAACGTGTATGACCTTGTTATCACATGACATCACAACTAATCGTGGTAAGATGTTATCTTATTGGTTCATGTGTATTAGCCATTTTCATATATACTCTTGCTTTGTACATTTTATCATTATTCTGGTTCACACACACGTTCCGTACATCTAAGTACCCTTCCACTCATACACTTGTGTGACAGTCATTATTTTTCCTTGTCTGGAAAATACAAGTATCATTGTAAACCTGGTGGTCTTCTGATTTCCGTCTTTCGCGCGTCACGACTATTAAACTACTCGACGAGTACATAACAGATCATCACTCCACATCAGCGCAAAAGTATCAGTTGTTCCAAGTCTTCTTAAACGAGCACAATGTTTGATAATGGGTGAGAAAAAAACGAATAAGAAGGAGAAATATCAAACATCACTGTGACTCTCAAGCAAAACAACTACGCAAAGCAGCACTTCATCAACAAAATCAACACTGACAATAAGTGTTGTCGAAAACGTATTCTAAAAACATGGACGTCAACAGTTGTCACTCCATTATAGAGCAGAGATATCAGACGATATTAGAAGAGAGTACTCAATAAGCTTAACGTCAGAGTTTTCTTCAAAACATCAGACACACTGCGAAGCAACCTTGTCTATATGAAAGACCAAATCCCTGAAGTTTCTCTATCTAACTGTATCAACAAAATGAAAGGCTTGGAATGTGATGCGATATATACATTGCACAAACCTCACCAGAGAGAAATCAAGATCAGAAGAAATGAACACATTAGACTAAGCTCTGTTCAACCACCGACAAATATAGTTGAACTAGGAAAGCTTGAAGAATCATCAGCCATAGCTCGTCTACACGCTTTAGAATCAGACCACAAAATTGATTTTGACAATATTGAAATAATCCGCGAAAATTGCAGAAATTACAAAGAACGTCTAATGTTAATCAGAAGGACTTCATATCACCAAATGGAATCGAAAGTATCTGCATAGGAATAATGGACTAAAACAGAATTTTACCTGGTTACAACACCTTCCTCCCCCGTGAATTGACAAAATCAACAATTGGTCAGTTTGACAACCTAAAAATGACGCCATGCTGAGAAACAGTGATTAAGTTGTTATATATAAGCTGAGATTTTGTAAATTCTGGTTTAATATTAATACTTTGATAAAGCAATTAGCACTAAATACTGAAGCGTCGGTGACAACAATATCGTTTTGTTTTTCATTCATTGGAAAGTACAACAAACCTTTATCATAAATGAGTAGTTAGAATAAATTTGTGCATGGAAAATTCCCATTGTAACACGAAAAAAATCAAAACCAGCAATTCACCGACAAGAATCTTTTCAACAACGAATTTACCATCAAACTGTACAATCGTATATGTGTGTATGGTTTTCAAGAAGTTATATCCGGTCGGGGAATTAAATCATTGGTGTGAGTGAATACATAAAATAATAATAATAGTTGTAGTATGAAATGCAATTAAAATTAAAATATTTGTGATTATAATCATCGTTGAATGTCAAGTGGCAAAACAATTAATGTCATATATAGAACAATTCATAGGATGTATAGAACATGAAAAAGAGTGTGCAATTTTAGGACTAGTAGGCAAATCGAATAAAATAAAAACGTGACGTAATAACGTGTGAAATTCGATAACATAGAAATTAACGTCGCAAAAACAAAACAGAATTCATCTAGAGTGACAAGTGGAACGAGTGATGAAATAATACCGGGGACAGTTTGAAGTGAGAATAGTAACATAATAGTGACAATTGACCTAATAAAGGAGGAGTATGTAAATTGAATAAACAAAACGAAGAAGTTGGTAGAGCTAAAGTATGATCAGGGATTACCATACTTTAGCATAGAGGGATTAAGACCATGAGAGTTGTAGGGCCTGAACGAATCTTGTCTGTATTCACAGATCTGGCTTTTCCAGTTTGATGGCCAAAGATGGCTTCAGGAATACAGGTGAGTGGGATACGTAGTGATTTGGGTAAATTACTCTTTGCCTTGTAGACAGATGACTTTAAAGGCGGAGGCTGTAGAGGTAGGGCAATCATTGCCGATCAGATGTTCAACTATTACACTTCCTACAGCTCCACTTCCATCTCTTTGTAATCATGCAGGATAACAGTGTTCTTGCGCCCTCTCACACAAAATCCAAGTGGAACGACCGATATATACCTAGCTCCACACGAACAGGTATTTAAGGGGGTGGGGGGAATAAACGAAGCGCAATTATTATTATCTTGTGAACCAGATATATTCATATTACAAACAACCAGAAAATTAAATATTTTATATCATAACACAAAGTAGGCTAGTTGTATCCAAAATCATTGATATATCCTCCAAGAACTACCAATACACACACACACACACAGATACCTTACTTCGTTGTTAGAATTAGTTGTTACAGGTGTTTAGTGCAATTCTTCAATTCTCCCGGCTTTTGTTATATATATATATATATGTCATTTGCTCTGAAGTTTCAGTAGCAATTAGATTGATTTTAGTCGCTAGTCCTACACCAAACCTCCCTCTATTCCCAGACTAGACTAGACTAGAAAACTAACAAGATAGTAAACAAGGAAAGGTTACGGTTTCCCATATGCGCATAGAACTAAAGATTCGAGGCTGTATGCCATCCGGGCGCATGTCTACCAGACCAGTGCGCACATGCAGTCAATCACTGAAGCCGGGTACATGTGGATCAGCAAACCCGTAACTGCCAAGCCGAACCTGATCGCTTAAACTGTATAAAAGGGAGGGTAAGCATTAGCCAGGTCAAATGACCAGAAAAGATCAGCAACAAGAAACCATGGGAACAAGCCTATCAGGAACCTATTGCTCAATAAATATCCTGGAAAAATAGAAATGAATGATCGGATATACACTGAGGAGGCCGTCGGATGACATCATACGCCAAGCTAACTCCGAAGTGTAACCCGAATGAGGAACGACGAGTTGGTCGTCATTTCGAGGGTGATATGGAGGAGATGAGAGACTATAGTCAGTCGTGCAGGGTCCGCTAAAGTGGAACGCTGGGAACTAGAGAAAGTGGAGATGTGCTCTTGTGAAGCCTATAGTCCGTTTTGGAAAAAGCAGAAGTATTTGGTTTATTCTTTCTTTTTATGTGATGATTACTCAAATTTACTTACTGATTTTTCGTTTTTCATTTTTTAGGCATACCTCCAGCTGACACTCTGGATACAAATATCTTACATGCAATATTACTTACTCCGCATAATCTACGACGTTATCCATATAGTGAAATGTGTTGTCAATCGTCTACTAGTGATTTCAGTTCAATTGTATTTGCTAAAGCTGATGCACCGATGGGAACAGCTTCGGATGAACTTTTTGGTCAACGTAAACCACGTAAATATTCACCCATCCTCTCCCCCGCCTTTCTGTTGTTTTTGTTGCTTATTGTATGCATCTTTGTGTGTATATGTGTGTGTGTGTGTGTTGAATGTGTATCTAAGACTTGTCTGTCATAAGATTTCAACTTTGAAGTTTTTTTAGATACTTAAGAGGTTAGTGTTATTGTTTGACCACTAGTGTGTGTCTATTCTACCTTATGTGCTTGGATATCGAAACCTTATGGATGTAGGTTGTCTTAAGGGGCACTACTTTCTAGCCTGTGACTTGAAGTCTCATCCATAAAGCAATGGGGGGGGGCAGCGTCAGAATCTGCGTTCCTATGCCATTCGACGCGTTTGAACTGTGGTTCTCATGTAAGCCAGAGGTTTGAAGTTAGGATTTTCTATCTCACATGTAGGTAAGCCCGCCTGTCCATCAGTATGGTGGTAAACGCCAGACTTAAAGTGGTACAGTTATGTGGACAGTGGATACTGAGATTAGACGTAGAGCGTTAGGTAAGTCAATTGTGAGAAGGTCGTGAAGCTGCATTGACTGAGATGATGATTGTGCACGTTTTATGCATTTCAGCAGATCATCATCCCCTTCTTCGTCGGGAAATGTTAGCTGACATAGGGTTACGTTGGATGAGAATTGGGCTTGTTCAAATTAAAACCTGCCTTCCATCTATACTGTTTCTGACTATCGTTTTTTAGCTACATTGGAAGGTGCAGACTTCTATGCATACAGATTAGGCTATAGCTAACCAGTTTTATTGGCACGAGTATTTGTCATCATATTCGAATTAGTGGACTGTCACTAGTCAGGACTTCTCACTAAAACTCCAGGCTACTACATTTTTTTAGTCAGTCACTAGTCAACATGATTTGTTATCATCATAAATATGCTTTTCAGATCGTGGAAAACACCTATATAGACATTAGAAAGAAGAGAACACGAAGTTCACCAAAGATAGTGATCTTTTCGGCGATTTCATTCTCAAAAGCACCTGTACAATCGGATTTAAATACATAATTTTACATGGATGGATACAATTCTTGTTTGATTCCATATAATTACGATGGTGAATAAAAGGTGATAATTATTTTCAACTAGATATGGTTTACGAGGAAAGGCTTAGAAACACAGGATTAGAACGGATAACCAGGGTGTGTAAAAGTGAGCGTGGAAACAAAATTGAAATAATAATTTTCAACTTGAGATGGAAGTTAGGAGGTGCAAATATAGATTACAAGAGCTTAGAAACAAAACTACACGGGATTATAGTGAATTACAGGCTCTTGTAATCTATATTCGCACCTCCTAACTTCCATCTCAAGTTGAAAATTATTATTTCAATTTTGTTTCCATGCTTATTTTTACACACCCTGGTTATCCGTTCTAATCCGGTGTAATTTTATTTCTTTTTTTAAGCCTCCTGTAAAAAGCAATACCTCTAGTTGAAAATAATTATCACCTTTAGTTCGCCGTCGTGATTATGTGGAATCAAACAAGAATTGTATCCATCCATGTAAAATTATGTATTTAAATCCGATTGTACAGGTGCTTTTGAGAATGAAATCGCCGAAAAGATCGCCATCTTTGCTGAACTTCGTGTTCTCTTCTTTATAAATATGTTTGTTGACGATTAGAAAATGGCTACATTACTTGTTTTCGACACTTATATCTTGATATAATGACGTTAACAGATCTTAATCATGGTCTTGTATACTCATCATCTTTGAAAATGTGTGTGTGATAAAAGAATTAAGTTTCACATTAATAACTTAACTTCTCAAGTTAAGGTAGGTCTCATAGCCTACCTGTGTTTTCTGATCTATTTGGTCGGGAAGTTGCTGTTTAGTTTAAGCACACTCGACTTACAGCTATAATGTATCCCGGGTTCGAATCATGTACTCCGTCTATTTCATCCCTCTGTGAGCTACTGTCTAGTATCACCAAGCCACCACCCTCCCCTGCTTCACATTGTATGTGTTGGTCATAGATAGTGAATAAGTTTAAACAAACGACCTGTTGAGTTGAGATGATGCCCTCCGTGTTTTAGGAGGGAGACACTTTTGCTGGCCTAGGTATTACTTGTTGTTGTTGTTGTTGTTACCTGATGAGTGTTAATCAGCACTGTCGTCTGATCGTTGAAAAAATATTCTTTCTTTTGAATTTTAATTAGTCTCATTCACCAAACAGAAAAAAAAACATACAATTCTCCCTTTTCCATTTTACCTTTTTCAGAATGTCACAATATGTCCTCAATGCAACTGAAACTTCCATTGAATCATATTCTTACAACACTACCAGTCAGTGGAAGAAATCTTCTCGGTAGTGTACTCATCTCTATGCTATCGTGTAATCAAGGTGTGATTGACAATCCTGGTCCGCCTATTGGTGTAGAGTCTACACATCCAGTGATGACGACGACAACATCAACCTCATCAAATATCCATGATCCTAGACTACAACAATATCCAAATGCTCTTTTAGATCCTCGACTACGTCGTCGTCACCAAATGTACACAGAGGAACCAGATTTGTATGCATTGGCTACTGCATTATTGTCATCAAAATCTCAGGAAAAGAAGCAGACAACAGTGACGACGACGACAAATACACCAACAACAACGACAACTTCACAGACACAGGATTCAACACCATATTGTGAACAACTGAAATGTACAGATAAGCAAATTCATTGTGTTGAAAAGTACCCTCCAAATGAAAATACGATTGAAGAGGAGATTCCCAAGGCGAAAGAGTTAATTACTGCTACTGTTCCGTCTAGTCCAGTAGTAGTGGAAGAATCTAAGGGTGGTATTCGTGATAACGCATCAACTCGATTAGTAGTAATAGTAGATTCACAAAATACCCCCAAAGAAATTCCACTAGATATTCAGTTGTATGACAATAATACTACGGTGGCGATGACGACGACTAGTGTTACTTCAAAACCACTTACTGCGTCTAGTCCAAGCCTTGTACAAGATACTTCTCCAATTGTTCAAAATACATCTGTTGATATGGAGCTTGATAGTTTTATTAATAATGATGACGATAATAATAATAATGATCAAGGTGAACAGTCTATCCATGTATTGGAAAAAAGTGATATGGAAATTGATAATCCACTTGCTAATGATCAACATCGTGCTGATAGTAGTGGCAGCGGCGGCTGCCGTGGTTTTGGTGGTGGTGGTCTTGGCGATAATGACATGATAATATCACGACCTCGTCAACCTGCACTAATACCACAGCCAATACCTAGTATTTGGAATTATCCATCAAAGGTATTTGCTCTAGCATCAACATTATCACCATTATTATCACCTAAGAAACCAAGACGACGATCTAGTCTGTTGTCTAGTGATAATCTGCGTAAGACAACAACGTCGTCGTCAATACATCATCGATCTACAACTAGTAAGAATATTCCTAAAGCGTATTCATCAGTTTTGTCATCTCCATCAGAGAGTAGACTTATATCTAAACATTCTCGTCGTAGTGATTATCATCGTCGTCATGATTATCGACGATCTCGTAGTCCTAGTTATCAAAAAACTAAATTAAAACCTTCATCTTATCGTTATGATGATAGTGATTATGATTATGATAGATACTGGAGATCTCCTTCAGATTCAAGATATGATTCTGATGAAAGATATAAATCTAGCAGTGATAGATATCGATCATCGCATGGTAGTCGTCAGACTGTGTCAAAAAGATCTAGAAATAAAGATAAGCGAGGCACACATCGTCGACCATATAATGATAATGATGAGACTGATGGCGACTATAGACGGCGACCTTCTTCATACAAACATTCACGTGATCGTCGTCGTCATGATCGTCGGAGTAGTAGTCCATCATGTTCAGATTCAGACAGTTATCAACAACATCGTTATCGAGATCGTTCACATTCCCGTGAATCATCTTCTAATTCGCCTAATAATAATAATAATAAAAATAATAGTAATAATGCACCTGTTCGAGGTCGGAAATCCTATCACCATCATTCTAACTCAAATGTAAAACGTCAACAACAAAAACAACAGCGGCAACAACGTGATAATGAGTCTCTGAATATCAACTCACAATCAGACTCAACTCAACTGTCAACTCCTTCTTCGGGTGCTACTACGCTTAGAAATGAATTAACTGGGGAAAAGACTAATAATTCTGATGCAATAAAATTGGAGTACTCTACACAACAAAACAGTGCTATTTCTCATAGCCAAAGTTATAATAGAGACGATAAATTACATGGCGATGATGATAATAATAATAATGACAATAAGACTAGTAATTCTATCGATAATAATAATGATGATGATATTCCCCTGATAATTAACAGCACAGATATCTCAAAAGATGAGAGTTCAACTGGTTTTTCTCCTGCTGTTGGTGTTAATCTTGACTGTGTTCATCAATCTAGCCAGATTGCTCCATCTACAGATGAAATGGATGTTAAGAATAATGATGATGATGATAACAAAGCTGTTGTTGTTGTTGTTAGCACCACGACTACTGTAGACCCTCTACCTCCATTACCACCACCAACATCCTCATCATCGCCACCACCACCATCACGATCCCCATCGCCGCCAATCATTTCTGTTGCACAGTCAAATAATCCAGGAGTAGTTGATGAAAGTGAAGAAGGTGAAGTATTCGATGATGATGGAGAGGAGTGTGATGATACTAATGAAGAAATTGTTCAAAATATGCATAATATCACATATAGTACTTTGAGTAGTGATTCAAGTATTCATTATAATGATACTGTAGACATGATGAAGAAGAAGACAACGTCATCATCAATGGCATCATCATTATCATCTCTAAGCGCAGATCTCGATGATCGTGGATCATATCATCACCATCATAATCAACAACAGCAGCAGCCGCAACGACGTGATAAACACCAATTTCCTCGTGGTATGAATAAATCACAAAGTCAAACTGACGAGAAGGATGATAATAATAATAAAAATTATAAAAAAGATGGCGCTGATAATGATGATGAAGAAGAGGTAAAGATTGATCGACGTTCCTTCAGGCATTTACAGGTTGGTCATATTTTAAAACATGTGGCTAAACGGTGTAATTCTGAGACGGAGATTTCTTCTTCTATTCATGAAAATGTCAACACTGCCAGTACGATGACTACCACTCATACCGAAGACGATTATCATGTAGTCGATGAAACGTATAGTTCTAATGAAAAATCAAATCCTTCTATTGTAGATATTGATATGTCTTTAGAGGATGAAGATATGCGACAAGATGAGCATGATACAACTACTGCTATTACTCCTACTGCAACAACGCATCATTATGGTCATTTCTATCCAATTACACGTTGGCAGCTAGGAAGAAATACTAGTGATAATTCTTTTTCAGATCATGATGATAGACTTACTGGTGAAGGTTATAAAGAAGATGTTGACTATAGAGGAGGACATTCAATGCATTATTCGTCAAGTGAACATCATCATAGACCTTCATTGCTTGGAACTTATTCAGAATCTTCAGTGTCTAGTGGATCAGAAGCTAAATTGAAATATACATTGTATAAACCAAAAGAATCTATATCCTCCTCCTCGTCCACGTGTATCTCGAAGACTTGTCATACCACATTGTATGCCTCATCAAGTCCACCATCAACACCTGTACTCCATGATGGTGGAGATGAGCATAGTTTACTAGGGTCAACAGATGATACATCATATCGTCATATCTCTACAGATTATTCTACTTCACAAATCTCAACACAGTATTTTGTTAACCAGACTAAAGAACCAACAACATTGTTAGGTTATCCAGATATAGCGTTTATGCCATATATTGGTTCTGCTTCTTCTTCTTCTATTTGCTATCCCCCTGTCATGAATATGACACCTGGACTCCTGCCTTTACCTGTACAAAGCCAACCATACCAGCAACAAACTCTAAACTTATGGCCAACAGCAACAACAACAACACAGCCATTCTATCCTAAACCTATGAATATTTTCAGTCATCCACCAAAACCTTGGCAGTGATTTCTCCCCCATTTTGCTCCTTCTAAGAAACTAGTCACCATCATGAGATATACTATTTTCTTTTTTGCTTCCCTTCCACTCCCATATCTCGATATACATGCATTTATATTATATTGTATATACGCATATGTATACTACTCATATACATATTTCTTGTCAGTAGTACTGACCGTGTGCGAGTTGATTTTTTTTTAAAATATTTCTTATAAATATTCACCTGATTATATTCTGTTTCTTTTGGATCACTACCATTACTGCTGTTTGTGTATTTATGTATGTATGAGGTATGTGTGTGTGTGTGTGTACATAGAGAAGATGACTCGTGCGTACAGACCAACTGTTTGATTGAATCTTCCTTTTGTCATTATTTAACCAAACATACAGATATTGGCAATATTTTAACACACGACATATATTATAGTCGAAGAGAATATATATATATATATATATATATATATATATATATATATATATATATAATAAACTGTAAAGTTACCTACATAAAATAAGATTTTTTTAACCAAAATATATACGTTATTTATTTAAAGTCTTTGAAATTGATTTCACACTGAATGAAGTTAAAATTCGAAGTTGTTCAAGTACTCTCGGTGTCTTGATGCGCCGCATATAAGCTCAGTCAGTGATGAAGCCTTTAAAGTGAAGAAAGGATTGTCTGTCTACTTTCACCGATAATATATTTCTGATTATAGTGAACTGTGTGGGTCAGACTACTACTATGGGGAGCAAGAAGAAGATGGATATACTCTTGACGGACAATAAGATCTGAACTTCACGGAGGACTGTTGCCAAACTTGATGATCGACAGACAAAAATCAACCAGTTTCTGAACGAGGCAACAAGGTCACAACAGCGAGTGAATCTACGGAAAACATAGATAGTGAATACACCTGTCCAACCATATATATATATATAGAAGCCATCACTTCCTGTTGAGAGGAGCTTCAAGTAGCATCCAACACACACACATGAAGGGTCATCGAGTATGTTAGGACCCGAATTGTGTTGTGCGTGTGTCCAAGAATGACATGAAAAAAGAGCATGAGGAAATGTGATAGCTTGTAAGCAGTGGAGAGTTGCAGCCAGCTGAAAATGATGACATAAACCATCCGAGTAGAATGAAAATGTACTATTGACGCTTTATGCATTCTCTACTGTGAACAAACTGGTGGTGGTTGAGTCTTGGCATTCTCGCCAAGCCATTCACGTGGATGGGAGTCCGATCCTCGAACAATATACCCCTAAATCTTGCTGCGCTGTTAGTGAATCTTGTAAAGAGGCAAAGTTGGGTGTTGAGGCTAGCAAACCCACGCCGTAGGCAATAAACAGTTGCTACTGAGACTTCGAAGCTTGAAGTGCTATTGAAACGGTAGACGACGAAAATATGTGTGAAACTTTGACACTATGGCAGTATTTAGTTCCATATTAGTTTGTTTATTAGATATATCACACAGTGAAACAGTGTTATTATTTACTGGATGACGTTTAGAAGACAACTTAGTGTTCATCATCACTCTAAATTCAAGTTTCGAAGTCGTGTGATTATAATTGATGTGATTATGAACAGCAATAAATTTTGTTCCCCTAACATGCCGGATATTTTCGATCTCTGTACCTACGATTAAAGGATGAAATTCTACGGACTGTAAACTGTATTTACAAGTTCACCTGTAGTTACGGTGTTATTTATATAGGTAGAACCAGTACAATATGTCCCAACCAAGTTCACTTCTAACGGTTTGAAAAAATTTAGGCATTGGGTATATGATATTCATTATAATAAAGCGGCTTTTTTTGTATTTCTCAATGAGTGAAGAACAAAACGATATTGGATTTACTGACGTTTCGCTATTCAATGCTGCTGCTAATAGCTTTATCAAAGTGGTATTATTAAACCGGAATTTACAAAATCTCAGCATATTTATAACAAAGAGTTGAGGGGTGAGAAAATAGACTTAGGTCAAGTTAAAAAGACATATTGAAAGTCAAAGTATCAATGAAGATCACTAAACCAAATATCAAAGGTAATAGTACATCTGTTATGATATCAAAACAGAGTTTACTAACTTGATCATCGTTCGCCTGTCTGGGATCATTTTTGTTTGTCAAGTTGGTCAGTTGGTAAAGATAACAAAACTAAGTGTAGATTCTTGGATTTGATCAGTGTGTAAAATTATAAAAGCAGTGTGTTTATTTGGTGAACTCGCTTATCACATTCGTGTTGATTTTGTCACTTCATGGGGGAGGGTGGTGTGATAAGCAAGTTCACTAATTAAACACACACTAATTTTATGATTTTACACACTGATCAAATCCAAGAATCTACACTTAGTTTTGTTATCTTTACCAACTGACCAACTTGACAAACAAAAATGATCCCAGACAGGCGAACGATGATCAAGTTAGTAAACTTTGTTTTGATATCATAACAGATGTACTATTACCTTTGATATTTGGTTTAGTGATCTTCATTGTTACTTTGACTTTCAATATGTCTTTTTAACTTGACCTAAGTCTATTTTCTCACCCCTCAACTCTTTGTTATAAATATGCTGAGATTTTGTAAATTCCGGTCTAATAATACCATTTTGATAAAGCTATTAGCAGCAGCATTAAATAGCGAAGTGTCCGTAAAAAAAATATCGTTTTGTTTTCATTCATTGGGAAATACAAAAACAGCCTTTATTATAATGAAGAACCAATAGAATGTTCCAATGTGATCGTCGAAAAGAACATGTTCCAAAATGGTTATTAAAATACATAGAAAATCCCAGTGCAATTAATCTGAATGGAAATTCATCACCATCATCTATTGCAAAGTAGTTATTAATTTCACTTTACAAAATCAATACTTACGACTGTTTCACAATTATTTCACCACATAACTCTAATTCAAGGTTGGTTATTAAAGGTAATGGGAGCACTTTGGATTAGTCATATACATCCTAAAGTATGTGCACAAAAAACAGTAGACTTTAACCTTCGCCTACCATGGATGACTACTTGACCTATTTAAACATTATTGGTCATTGGTATATACTTTTATTTTACATAAATGAGTAGTTGCCATACATTTCATTTTATTTATAAAAAATTATATTTGTAAAATCTCAGCGGTATTGAAATGAGTAATTCCAACGTTTCCTGTGTTCGGCAAACTGGTCCGAACATTTTCAGAGAAATAAATCTAAATTAACATGACAGAGTTTTATCTATTAAAGGAACATGTCTTGCTTAATTGCCGCCTTAATATTTTAGAACTATTCTGTCAACTCTCAGCTGCAGTTCATTTGATGAATTATTTTGCAATCGAATTAAGTTAACAAAGAAACTATGTAGTTGGCACAATCATCGTGTTTCCACTCTCCGTTGTCGGCAACACAATGCGTATCCTAAATCCGTAGCTGTCCAGTCACCTGACAACTCCAGTAGGTCGAATAAATCAGTTCAATCTTCAAATAGAGGACAAAGCAATAAGTTCGACAGGGTGCTCCAACTAAACTCTAATCCTAAACACCATAATTTTGAGAATACGTCTAATCATAAAATTCTAGATACTAACAGTTTGAACAGACATGAAGGTGTGATCTTGTTAGCAGATGCATAGGAAATCTTGATTAATAAATAAGAATGGATACGTATCGCTGACTAATAATATTAGGTCAAAGTTCCCGACTGTTTATATCTACTTATGGTGACGTTAAGAAATTGTTTTACAACTGTTTACCACCACACAAACATACTCTGTTTCAAATGTTTAACAAAGGTAGACCAATAACTGCAAGTCCGAGGTCAAATTTTGTTCACAGATCATACAATTTTTTTACTATACATCTTGATACCTGTTTCATGACTCATGATTGGACAAAGTTTTTAAATTTGTCAAACGAAAATACAATTAGTAAGTTCAGATGAATTGGATGTTCATATAAGAGGATAGTAACAAAAGTGATGAGTTGTCAAAAACGATTGTTTAATAAGAGTTACGTAATGGCATGAATAGTTTGATGAATGAGTTGTGCTCAAAGGGTGTACATGGAAACAAAATAATATACAGAATTACACAAAGGTTTTAAGTTAGAAAAATAAGCATACAAACAGAAGTAAGGTCAAATCAAACAAACAAAGAAAAGTTAGGTCAAATCAACGGAGTTGTTACCATGCGAGTAGAAGTGGTTGGATAATTTTCTTTTGTATGCATAGTTCTGGTTCCACCAACTGGATGGCTAGGGCTTCTGCGATACAAAGAAGACGGAATCGTACTGTCTTTGGAAGGTTGTTCTTCACTTTGTAGATTACTTTGAAGGAGGCGTTCGTTGAGATGGAATGACCAGTGTTGACGAGATGTTCGATTATTGCACTCCTTATATGGCCATTATTTCCTTTCTGTAGCCACGCTGGATAGTGTTCTTTGACCCTTTTTGACAGGATGCGCGTTGAACGACCGATGTACCTGGCTCCACAGCAACAGGTGAACTGATATATACACATAGAAGTGGTTATGTGCGGAATCTTGTCCTTTGGGTTTCTGCAGATCAGCGGGCGACTGGAGAACACTATTCTTAGTGTTGCCGCAGGGAAAGTTCTTCCTAAAGAGGTGGAAATTCTCCTTCTGAGGACGTCACTAAGTAGGTCTCCTTTGAAGTCTAGGTTCATATAAAGTATCTTTTTTGGCACGGATGGTGTCTCTTGCTTTTGGTTTTTCTGTTTGATGTTTTTCTCTACGAATCTTGGTGGGTAGCCATTTTGTATGAAGATTTCCCTCAGGAAGTTTAGTTCTTCTTCCATGGTGTCGGAGCTGCAGATGCGTCTGACGCGAGTGGCAAGGGATTTAATTAGGTTTCTTTTCCGACTGATTGGTACCCAGCTGTAGAAACTTGTTAATTGTCCGTTCCAAGTCGGTTTCCTATGGATTGACCTTCTTAAAGTTCCGTCATCTCTCCTTGTAAGCTCAACATCAAGAAAAGGGATTTTAGATTCAT